TCACTAGGGATCATTTGAAATACTCCTTACAATTACCATGCTACATCTTACAAAAAAATTCCGAGTTTTGTGATGAAAACTACTTTAATTATGTGTGTATCGTGTTTCTCATTTCATATAGAATCGACGTCGCACCACCAAACAGTACAATATACTAACCAGATTAAAAGGACACGGAAGCATCAAGGCTCTCTACTGTTTGTTGCTGAGTACATGTGGTGCTAAAACAGGTAACAGACAACCACTGCAGATTTTCCAAAGGACACGCAACCGAAATTTTCTGTTTAAGGTGGCTGAACACAGTTTTGGCAGTTTGTGAGTATATGTCATTTGTCAACTCACGGCATATATTGATGAAAGGTTTTGATTGACAGGAAAAATTTGACGTTTTTGTAGTTTCATGGCAACATGAACGATTGAATACAACCTTAAAATTTCAGTTTTGCTGTTTACATAAAATTCACTCATTAGATTTTCCTATAAACTTGCACACAGCTTACTATAATTAATCATTACCATTTGAAACTTATTTGACCAAATTTTAACAAACGGGCTTTTAGATAATCAATAGTATAATTGTACTGTAATTACTAAATGTGTCAAAAAATCATCTGTCAACTTCCATTTTAAAGTTCTCATTATCTAAAATACGATAAAAGTAAAAATTCTGCTAAATATCACAAGATTTTAATGTGTAGATTTTGAGAAATCGTCTTCTGTGTAACATTGCTTTCTTCGCCACCATGTTTGTTTGTCTAATTTAAAACACGCGCCGTCACGCGAGTTACCGCTGACCGCCCGCAAAACTGTGTTCAGCCACCTCCGCGTGTGCGTTGGGCCCACTTGAATTGGTGGTAATGCACGACCGACCGTCCACCATCGTTTAGCCAAACATGAAACTGATTCAAGACAGGCTATGTCACTCTTTTATGAAGTGATATATGCGTTCTATATAACAAGTCAATTTTATTTGCAGCTGTCAAAATGAGGTATTCGATAAGAAACGTGTCAGGCGCCAAGATGGAAAATGTTGTTTTGTTTTTTGTTGTTGTTGTTGTTGTTTTTTTTTTTCACATTTTTCAATTAGTCATCAGTACAAACTCATACTAGCTGAGCTTATTTCAATGCTTTTACTCTATCCAGCCCAGAATCTAAGTTCGTTCAAAACCCAGTCAAGCCATGCGGGAGAAAACATCGAGTGACAATACTTAATGACGTCATTGTCTTGATCTCTGTCACAGATTCATGCGCATGCTCAATACAAGAAGTTTCCACCACTCTTGGCCCTGAATTAACGCCTAGGCTCCCCGAAGAAGTTGGACACAAGAGAAGAACAGTAAAGAGAAACACCGTGGGATTTTGCTTTGTGCTGCTGTTTCTGGTATTAGAGATGTTGGTTTGTGTTATTTTGCCTCTTATGGTTCCAAAATCAAAACACAGGTATCAAAAACAATTCCTGCCCGTAATTTGAACATGCATATTCTCATTTGCTTCTCTTGATACATTTTCTATGGTACTGTCGAGGAGAAGTTGTTAGGCAATCAACCCTTTTACTTAGTGATCGTTTTCTTTAAACTTAACTGTGAGTCAATTTTAGCGTTTTCTTCATGAGCATTTCATCTATTGTTGCTCTAAGCGAGGCCATTTCCGAGTTCCAAAAAATCTCACTTTTTAGTCGAGGCTAAATGCAAAACCTGCCTTGTGATAATGAGTTTTATTTGCAAGAGATAAAAAAAATTCATGTCAATGGCGTTACACTAACTCTCGTTTTGAAACAGAGGCATGGAGCAGCTTGTCTCGCAATGTTGTTGCTCTGCATTTTCGCCCGTCGTTTCTCTTGGTCACGTGGTCTGTGTGACGACTATGGTACCGCTGAGGAGAATTTATTAAACAATCAACCCTTCTCGTTTTTTTCATTAGACTTGTTCGTTACCAAAAAGCCGCGAGGCGCTGGGTACGAGAGTGCTTGTTGACGCACGATTCTCGGCTTGCACTGTCACGCAATGAAAACTAAAAATGCAAACCATTCAATACAGAAGGACTAGAATCTTGGAAATGAAAAAAGATAAATATACAAAACCCCTTGCCAAGAATCAGGTCTGTGAAATATTTCAAATGCGAGATACTGGGAAAAACGGTTTACCTAAATTTATAAAGCTTTGTATGGAAACGCCATGTTATTGTCCATTTCAGGAACACCAATATGGCCGCCGGATACCAACAGAAACATCTGTTTTCGAGTTTTCCTACAAAAAAATGCGTGAATTCTTCGCTTGAGGAACTCATAAAGATTACAGTAATATTTATTCTGAGACAAGGAATGTTTAGATTGCAAAATATCCCAAAATCGGTAATGTTTTTAACCCACATAAGAGCTTTCCCGGCCACCAGCTAAATGCCGCGTCACGCAAAAGCCTGGAATGGAAATTCAAGCGTCCTCTCTCGCAAAACGAAGAACCCTTTCGAACCAAAAATTTGTTTATGTAAACATGTAGGTACTGTAATGCCTCGTGAAAGTAGAAACTCAGAAGAATCGATAGTTTCTTAGTTTGATTTTTGATGACGTCACGTGCAACCCAAGAATACATTAGAGACCTTTAGATTGAAGGGGGAGGACGACTACAAAAACAATAGATTTGACGTAAAGTCTTTTTCGCGTTTTGTCAAAAAAACAAAAAAAAGACACACTGGAAAGCTTCATTATCCGTCTCTTCCACCAGAAACGTTCGCATGGTTCTTTTTATTAAGGGAGGTTAAGCACTTGACAACTTGCTTTCGTCAAAACGACATTTTCACTAAAACCCGTTGTAAAATGACAACGTTTATCATGTTTTCCCGTCAAAATGAAGCGGGTTCACGCGCGAGCGCACTGCTAAGTATAGACCTTGTCACGGTTTTCGACGCCATCTTGACGAGTAGGCAAAGGCGTGAAAAATTACAGTGTTTGTATGAGAATCTAATGTCGAATAATTTCCGTAGAACAGCTGTTCTGACAAAAATATGATTTGTAAACTAAAACTTCTCTCCTAAGAATTCTACTGAAAAAATTTGAGGGCGTTACACGCACTAGAAGACCTAGAACCACTTTTTTAAATTTTCTATACATTTGTCTGTAAGAAAGTCCTGGGAAAATTACAGACAATTATATGGAAAATCTAAAGCAAGCCTCTCGAGAAATCTAAGCTCAGGTACGCCCCCAAACTTTTTTAGGACAATCCTTTGTTTTGTAGCTTTAGTTTACAACTGATATTTTTTTCAGAACAGCCTTTTTACGGAAATTATTCGACATTAGATTCTCATATAAACACTGTAATTTCTCACACGTTTGCCTACTCGTCAAGATGGCGTCGAAAACCGTGACAAGGTCTATTGAGAAATTCTCGTTCTCGTAGTTGTCTTTGAATCCTTGCATACACTGTGTAGTAGTTGTTGCAAAAAGTAGTAAGTAATTCTACTAGTTTAGAAGGTCTTACTTATTCAGTTTCCAAAAGCTAACTATGAGTTGTTTAAACTTTACAGACAAAATTCATCAGTTGAAGTCGAAAACTCTACAAGTACGTATGGAAAAACTAGCCATTTTTATAGGAAAATATTTCACTTTTTTTTATTTCTTACCGGCGAGACACTGTTTCTCTGAAGTATCAGAAACAATAATTGCCAGTTATTTAAACGGGGTCTAGCCAGTGCTTAAGAAAACCGCGTTCTAAGCCTTTTTTACGTTGCCCAACGCTTTCATCTTAACACCATTTATCGTGGACAGCTTCATGAAAGCTTAACGCCTAGACTGGAAGTCACTTTTTTCTTAAAATAACCCACTAAGGAATATATCTGGAGGTCCAGAGATTTGCTAAACCGCGGCCTAAGTTAGACTTCGTTTAAATAACGGACCTTAAATTTTTTCCTCAGGTAATCCTTCGTATCAGATTGGCCCTCAACTCCTTCCCTCATCTTATTCATCTCCACTGCAAGACGCTGATCAAGAATCTTATCAACCCCCCTACCAGCCCCTGGTAGAGAACACTAGAGCACCAGGGGGAAATACTGGGTATCTCAGGCCAGTAGTTGAACGCGGAGAGGCCTCTCGCTTGGTCGCAACCGATCCAGCGTCCTACCAAGATCTCGACCAAAGCGAGCAGCGAGAGCATGGGTACCAGAAAAGTTTGACTGAAGTAG